AATATTTACAAAATTTAGGGACTAATTATCTGTCTAGGAACTTGTTTTATTTGAAATGACCTTTTAACTGGTTCACTAGCTCTCGAATAACAGCCGTTCAATCAATTTAACCTTTTCACCCCCAGATCTGATTAGTAAATCTCCGTACTGTCTGCCAACCAATTCTCATGATGTCAGCTCGGAAAATTTGGTATTTGATCGACTATAATCTCCCAATTGACATTTTACTTCATTCTCATCACTTGTCTGCTTGATATTGTGTAGATATTGTAAGGAGAAATTCTTTCTTGGTCACTCATGGGAATTAAGAGGTTAAGCTGGGACTACCTCTCGACTGGAAAATGTGATTGGTCATTCTTTAACCTTAGGAGGATTTTTCGTTAAATTTATTCAGCGCAGAAAACATTCCCTGACAGTTCTGTTACTGTACATCGGAAAACATACTTTACAATGGTTGTTGTTTTCTACCTTTGAAGTTTTTGTAACAACGCTGTTATCATCAGAATATTTTGGATAGTCAAGCTAATGAGTATTTTGGCATCGTTCTCTAATTTCGTACTGTAAAGTTAGTCAAACAACTTACAGTTTTCCGAGTTCTTCATCATTGATCTCTCTGTGCATTTCCCATTCCAATTCTCCAATCCTCTTTGATTCCCTGTTTTCATCCTCATCTTCCGACTCTGCAAATCCAATAAAGAAATTCATCAGTAACATAAAACACAGACGGTTAGCTTTATTTCGTCAGATAAGCCATCTAGTATGTTTAAACTAGCACTACTGGTCTTATTAGAGTCCTTATAGCCTAGCTTTAGGTGGTGTAAAAATTAAGGATTATTCGTCAAGCAACTTGTCGGTAAAGGGCAACGTCTCTTAATAATTGCTCGGGGGTTGATCGATGATCTTTAGGAAAACTGCCCAGACTTTTGGCAATTTCTCGGAAAAAAAATTTATTTGACTGTTGTCAAAAATTCTGCTCAAGTTTTCGAAAAAGCGATTACTGATAACAACAAATTTCTTTTCAGGACGCCCCTTACTGAAAGATCACATTAAAAGATCTCAAAAAACCTTCAAAACGAACAGAATTTTAGGTTGAAAAAGTTTAACATCATCGTCAATGTTTGATTGATTGACAATATTAAGTCACCTCTTCTATAGACATTTTTCACGCGCAAGTTTTTTTTAATTATAACATTACAGACAATGACAAAGAATTTCTTCAATACCAATGTTTACCATCAACAAAGTATCTGCCTGCAGTATTGTCACTTCTTCAAACAGTACTGTAAGTCATCTCCTTCAAACAGACATCGAATAGATTGGGGAATGGAGAAAACTACGAAATATTTTTGTTTTCAGCAAAATAAAATGTTCAGTTTACTGGACGCAAACCAGCTCCATAAACTATACATAACTTAATCAGTCGTCACAAACTAAATAACAAACCTTATTGGATGCTTCCCTCCATCTTCATTTTCCTCCCTTGTATCTCTTGATTTCCAAATTTTTGTTTTCATTCTATTCTTGACCCTGCCCTTGAAGAAAAAAAATGTTGTTAAAAAGTGTTCTTCGTAATATCCAAAAATGTATTTTTTTTTCGGCTGCGAACGGAAAAAGGAAAATAGCGGATAATTTTTATCAGCTTAATCCTAGCAATAATAGTTTTAGGCTTGCCATTTTAATCAACTTCAAGATATTCTCTAGAAATATGTCGAAGTTATGGGAATATTTGTCAGGCTAAAACATCGCTATAATAGATAGGTTAGATGAATTTTCATGTACGATAACCATTACGTAACTCTTTGACACCAGTGTTTTATTATCAACAGAAACAAAGAAAAAGATTAATCACACCAAAAGCGCTCTAAAGTAAGGGAATATGTCATTTCTTTTTTTTTTCTTTCGACCCGGTTAGTTTCTACTTGCAGTCCGTTAAATCCAGATTTACGCGTTCACAGCACATCAGTCGTACATACATTTGTATGCTAGTATTGGTTTTGTTTGGTTGTTTTGTTTCGTTTTGTTTTTTACATGAAATTATGGCGCGCAATATACATCACATAAAAAGCAGGTGCATGGTAAATAAATCTGCCTTGACACCGTGCGGAATTTCTTCGCTTAACCCTTTAACTCTCATTAGTGACCAAGACAGAACTTCTCCTTACTACCATATCTGGCAGACGAGTGATGAGAATAAAGAAAACGTGTCAATTAGGGGAACATTAGTTGATCCAATGTCAAATCTCCAAACTAATATCATTGTCCTACCACTCGGTCCATCAGTGTGGGCGGCCGCACGAGAAATTATTTGGCTTAGCAGAGAGCCAAATAATTTCACGTTCAGCCCCACCTAACTCGGGCAAAGAGCAGTTTTCATTAAACTACCTCTCGCTTCGCCTTACACCTTTTCCCGGCCCTAGCGCCCCATCGCGTCAGACTCTAATACGAGTGTAAAAGGAACGAGCAGCTGAGGGGCCATACAGGTCATAATTTGATGAATTCGGCTGCGAACTGTTGCTGAGATACTTGACAAAAAATGAAGTACAACAAAGGCAAATTGATGAAAAAAAACAATAAAGGTGGAAAAAGCACCTAGTGAAGACAAGTAAAGACGTTTATACCGCTTTGATCAACCACACGATGCTTTTGAAGTTCATTTTTTAAATATTTTTTTTTAACGAAACCATGTTTCGGATGAAGCATCATCCATTGTCAGTTGTATAATGAGAAATAAAATGAAATTATGCAATAAATAGTATAACAAAGTGAGATGTTAACAAGAATATGGCAGACAGTAAGGAGAATTGCTAGTGAGATCTGGGAGTAAAAGAGTAAACCGTTAACCCCTAAGAGTAACTATCATCTAATTTCTCCTCACAATATCATCCCCAAATCACACATTAAGGTCATGAGAATAAAGGATATGGTCAACCAGAGAAGCTCTGGATTATGAAACAAATTCTCCTCATCAGCACTTTTTAGTAATGTATAGGGAACAGTTTGGAGAATATGCATACCGATTTTAGGGCGAAAGAGGTTAACTGAATTACTAACCAGATTAAAAGTTGTCCGGTTTCTCTTTCCTCCCTCGAATTTCTTATTTCGAGAAGTTCACATTCTATGCTTGATGTTGTTCTAAAGAGAGAACCAAACTTCGAGATACAAATGAATTGATTTCTAAAACGTTCACATCATTCTTTAAGTATGCACATCAGTTTAATGCGTAAGAACGGTATCTATATCGACAGAACTCCATCAGGAGATAATAAAAGCTAACATTCTAATACAGAGAAGAAACATTACATTCAACATCCTTCGAGAAAGTGAAAACCAATTTGAGATAAAGGCTATTTATTCCCCGCACACGAAACTAATTATAACTCCCACAGCCATTCACGTATGTTCCGGTATCTGTGGTATGATGGCACATGTACTAAGAGCCTCGCTTCTTCTTCTTCTGGTGGGGCACCCTTAAGTAGTTTTTCAGATTTCTCTGACAGTTCACCGGTAACTATTTAAACACCTGGCGGAGAGTTATTGTAAATGTTGAATTTTCTCACCAAAACACATAACACAAGGTTTCAACCAAGACCTTTCGATTCGGCTGATTCGAGCAGGCGCGAGATATCTGGTGTTATACTAACTCGATGGAGACTAAATTACTCTTCTGGTTTCCTAAACACATTCTACTTCAAAACGTTTTCAAAATCACCGGTTTTGCTCTACGGGCACGGTTGGGAATCAGAGGAGTAACATGCGCGTTTACGACAAATCTAATTTTGACATGCTGTGAGCGCAAGTGACTGTATGTAGAATAAAAAACGAGTATAGAAATGAAGAGATAAATTACTACACATTCAGCTATCAACAAACTAACCATTAACTAAAAATTTCTCACTGTTGCCCGTAAATCAGGTGGTACATATAGAACTGTCCGGGCGGCTGGGCATGGCTGGATTTTCCTTTTTGTATCCAAAGCTCCGACTTGAACGAGGGCAACGGCCAGAGACGCGAATACTGCACTTCTTTAAAGATGAAATTACGCATGAGCTATTTACCTTGAAGAAATTCGTGACAAAATGACATTCATTTATCCTCGACGTCGAATTTCGGCCACCTTATCGGCAACTTCGACGAAACACAAGCTGGACTTGACAGAGCGGACGAAATCTAAGGCTGTAACGTGAAAGCGATGTGTTTTGTGGCCCGAGAAAGGCTGCAAAAGAAGTTGAAATTTCTTGAACTTCTCACGTTCTTTCCACGTGCAGAACTAATCGCAAATATGAATATTAACTTTCAAAAAATATTTGTAATTCAAATGAATTTTCTGACTTTGAAAGGCGGACGGAAAGTACCGAATGGCTCTTCGGTCGCGGTCGTTCATTTATATTACAAAATTGAAGGACCAATTAAGAGCTAATTTTGAACTTGGTATTAAACTTCGAAGGGTGAATTTGTTGTCAAAGTAATAGAAATACTAAGCAGAACTCAGATGAAATAAACAAATACATAAAGTAAAGAAATGAAGAAATGAGAAATATAAATTCCTTGAAAATCATTCTTCAAGGAGCTGAGTTTCCAGGTGTTACCTTAATAAAACAAGCGAAAAACGAACTTTCGTTCCATCAATTTTCGTTTTGAAAGGAAAGTTGCTGCCATAGACGAGTTTGTAAAGCGTGGTTATAATACAGTAAATAAACTTTGAATCGTTTGTCTTATGATCAGAAGTCATTATCAACTTACTGAGATCGCGACTTTTCCACTGTCTTATTGCTGGTCTTCGTCAGGCGATGTGGTCGAGCAAAATTTGCAAATAATTTTTGAAAAAGAGTTAGATTGGTGGGGAATCTGTAACCAGACTAGGAGAATAAGATAATCACTCGGATTTTGAAGATGGAATCTGAATTTTCTCATATTTCTCTCCTTGGTGCCTTTCCGGATGCTACCGATGCCTTTTCCGAAACCTCCATTGTTTATTACAGCAATAAAGATGTATGTACAATCAACACTATTGAAACATTGCTTAACATTTTATTTAGCGAGGTAAACAGTTAACATTTCAGCTTCACAACACGATTGTTTTCCGCAACTACAAATGATCTGTCTTTATAAGGCATTATGTATTTAAGTAGTTTCACCGCTGACCACTCGTATTTCGGTCTTTTTTTTACCCCGCTCGTCGCCTGTGATGTAGTAACTTGTCACGCAAAATTTCTAATTTGAATTAACATGATCCGCTCACATGATCTGTGATCCGATCTGTGATCCGATCCGTGATCCGATCCATGATCCGATCCTTGATCCGATCCTTGATCCCACCCCGTCTGATTCGGGTTTTTTCAACGTCCTGTTTTGTCCGATCAGGTCTGATCCGGGTTTTGTCAACACCAGTTGAAAAATGCTACATCCACGCCACAAGTTCCCCTAAAAGAAGGAAATAATAATAAATAATCTTAAGAATCTGTAACAAATCCTTAATACACAACATTTAAAAAGAAAGATTATGAATAAAACTGGCGATAATAAATAATTTTAACTGCTAAAACATTAGAAGCGGGTAGGGACACCCTGCTCAACTAAAAGCTGCGTTATGTTTATACCACTCACTAGATCTGCGCTTGAGCTTACAGCTACATAGAAGATATACTTGACATGTTTCATCACTATCTTCAACTGCAACTCACCGTTTTTTTGAGATAACTAAAACAATCTCTCCACCCATCAAACACTGGCATTGCAGGAGGCTTTCCACCAGCCAGACTAAAGAAAAATGCAAAGAAAAAAGCTATTATGAACACTTTCTGAAGTACGACATGACTGTCTTAAAATTCATTCAGTTCAAACCTAAATAACTCTAAGCATTGTAAATCTAACCTCTTTTTGTTGTGTAACGGGAATCTTTCATTATATAAATATAAATAGCCTGCAAGCAGACTTAAAGAGGCAATAGGTTGACCCACTTGAGGACACGAGTTGAATAAAGTCTCATTCTTTGTTCCTTATCCCTGACGTCATGTCCAATTGTAGATGTCATGTATAAACTTCTCTTTAAAGACTAATTCTTGTACTCAAGGGACAAATATATATTTATTTGTTAACAAACATAAAATACCACTTATCTTTTATTTTTCCCTGAGTATTACACAGTTATTTTATCAAAATATTTTTTTTGTATTATTTTACTGGCTTTGCTCTGAAAGACATTGATTATAAGCTTAATTTTCAAATTTGTGTTCAATGTATAAAGTAAAGCTAACCCAACATTATTGACTATCATCATGTGTGAAACCAACACAAATGGGTGGGTCACAACTCCAGCAGCATACTGCAAAACAAACAGAAAACAATATTTATCCTTTAAATTAAATAATTAATAATTCAATTTTATGACAACTTTGCATTCAGATTCAACACCCATCAGTCATATAATATGATTATTTAAAAGTAGCAACGTATCCAAATAATTCAAAACATGCATCTTCTATTATACGTTTAGTAAGGACTGGTCTTTCAAATTACTTTACATGTAAAGCCCTTATACCAGATAACTTGAGTTAAAACACGACATATTACATAGAACTTATCTTATGAGGAAAAAAGTGGTAAGATCCTTAGCCCAAGTGGATTTTGTTAAATTTGATAATGAATCAATATGTAGAATAGATCCATTTTTTTTCCAAATACTGGTGCTTCTTCTTTGATTCAAAAGGTGATGAAGCTTTTTGGGGGCAAATTAAAGATGTCTATCAGGTATGCTATACCTGGAAAAGTACATCTCTATACACTTGTACTTCTTTACTTCTGCCGACCTGCAAATTTACAAATCGTTTTTCCTTCATTGGCAGCTTTGTCAAGGCATACTGTTACTTAATTATCACATTAACTTTCTGATAAAGCTGAATACAAATAAATGGTATTATCTACTGATCTCACAGCATGAATCAAACTAGACAGCTGTAGTCAGTTGGATGATCATGCTACTAGAGAAATTTATTTTTTGTCTTCAAAATCAATAACAAGTGCTTTAGAGATGGACTATGGTTTACCACCTGTTTGTTCATCTTGAATCACAAATCACCATCAAGGTTGTAAATTAAAGCACATGCACATTGCAAGTCTCAGTTTTTTATGATGTAGGCTTCAAGAAATGTTTAAAAGGCGTGTGAATTACTATGTGGAAGGTATAATATCTTTCTTTTGCTTTTCAAATGCCTTTAACCTGCCTTCCAAATGGCAAATTTGGCATGCATGTGAAAAAAGTTGATGTGAAATACAACGAAGGCATGAAAAACATGTGAAGACTGTGAGTTAATTTTATCATTTTTAAGTACTGGGTTACAGACAAATATGCATCTGGTGAAAAAGTACAAATAAATCATATATATTAATTTTTGATATGATAAGACTTGCCTCACTGTCAATAGCATATTTGCTGACCAAGAAGCAAGCTCCTCGATATAACAAAAGGGACAGGACTTCTCCAACAAGACGAGGAATGATACCACTGTTGACAGCAATAGATGACATTTAACAGGACACAAATTAAATACTATTGTTAGGTGATTCCTAGTTGAATTATTTCTCAACAAATAGCCACAAAACTCTTCTTTGCAAAGCCACTGTCATTGTTAATCGTTGCTTTTGAATTAAACAAAAGTACTTGCTGAATGAGAAATTTCTAATTAAAAGTAACACTTCTTTTTTGTTCAAGCTATATTTTGTGCCTGGACCACTTGGCTACATTTGATTGATTTTCAGCCAAGAGTGCAACTACTGCTGATTCAATTTTTCAATTATTCCACTTATAAAAAACTGATTATTGCAAGAAACTACATGACGATTCAAATCATAGTAACATAATTAGTCAGTAACAGAACATTCATTTCCTACCTAAAAAATCCACCAAGTCCTTCATTGCTATAGATCTCTTTGACTGATGCACATAGTCCACTGAAAACAGATTTATTAACACAGGCAATAAGATAAAGATATTTAACATGTACATGTACAAGTCTTGTCCATGGTTGGCACATTCAAGTAATGAAAAGAACATCCAATTTATCATCCCTGTGTGTAGGATATCTTAACTCTTTAACTCCCAGAAGTAACAAACACGTAACTTCTCTTTATAATTCCATACATTATCCAGCAAACATGTAATGAGAATATTGAAACTTATCAGGCAGAAGTCGTTATTTTAATCTAACACCAAATTAGTCTCATAACTAATTCCCAATGATATGTGTTGCAGCTGGAGGGGAGATTTAATAATCAAATGTTGGGAGTTAAAGGTTAAAACAATAAAAAAGGTGCCGTTACATCTCCAAATAGTAAGTTGAATTTGAAAAGTGAGTAAATTTTGAGAAAATCTGCCAATTCAAGGAAAAAAATACTCTTAAAATTTAAAAATTGTCAAATGGAGATGAAAATTAATGTAGCAGAATGTGGAAAAAGAACTGACCTGTAAATAGTTTCTTGACCAACAAACTGAACCATCATTCTGACTGAGAGCACTTGAAATTAAATTAGAGAAGTGTCATTGGTCAATCAATATTTGCTAAAAAATATATAAATAAATAAATAAATAAATAAAAATACAAATTACAGAAATTATAGACTACTTATCTACTTTAATTTTGTTACCTAGAAATTAATAGCCCTAGATGTCTCACCCTCAATTGAAATTCTAGCCATTATGATCTAAGATTCAGTTTTGTTACTTTACCATAAAATGGGTGACTGATAATGATACCACTGCATTTTGCCACAGCCTGTACACAGGTCTTAATAGAAAAAAAAAATTTGTTAGTCTTAACATCAACACTGAGGTAAGTGACCCAGACCAGGCCTTCAGTACTTATCCTTTCTTTCAACACATAAATCCACTAGGAGTATGGCTACTTAACCTATGGATATGATCCTGATCTATTGCACAATAAACCCCCCACCCTGCATTCCATCACATTTTCCTGACAGTTTACAGGTAACCATTTATAATTATTCCTCCGATACATGCACGCATTGACTAAGAGGTAGCAAAGTGTGTCAGAGTCTGACAGACACCTCCTTGACCCGTTGACCCATAAGAGTGACTAGCATCTAATTTCTCCTTACAATATCACCCTGAATCAAATATCAAGGTCACAAGAATGAAGGAAATGATCACCAACTAAAGAAGCTATTGATTATCAAACAAATTCTCCCATTCAGCACCCTAGCAAATGTACAAAGAACAATGTGGAGATTATGCATACTGATGTTAGGGTGTAAAGAGTTATTCAAAGTTCAAACCCATACCCATACCCCTCAGTCCAGAGTTTGGTGTACAAACCATTGTGCTAAATAATATATATTCTAAAAAGTCAGATTCCAGCGCCCCCATTTAAGCAAGGAGTAAGAGCAAAATTGGTCAAAATACCTCTTCAAAAAACTCTAGCAATTCTTCTCGCCAGCTCTAAAAATTTCAAGAAGAAACAGAGAAAAACAAATTAACATACAGAGCTGTACCATTCAAATCATTGTAATTAAGATAAATTATAACATATTAAAATAAAAAAGAGCAACCCCACCTTATTTTCTGGAGGAACCAGGGGGACAAGGGCATTGTCTTTTTTATCCATAGCCTATTCAATACACAATTCACATAAGACTATATCACAATTGCATGATGTAAGGTAAGAAATTCACATTATATACTTTGGAAAAATCAAACTACAGAAGGAATGTGGTAAACTAATTATAGTTTAAGTGAATCCATAGTAATACCTGTAGCATTGTATTGTTTACAAGAGTTCCAATCATTGATGAGTAGACCCTAACAACAGTTATAGTGGAACAATTAATGTAATACCAGAAATAAAGTTTCCCAAAAATGATGAAAATTACCTTGGAGATTAGAAGGACTTACACCTCATAAAATTAAGCCAAGAAGAGAGCAGATACTTCAACACACAAAAATAAATCCCACAAAATATTTCTCTACTGATGAGCAAACTTAAAGGTCCTTTTATGTGGAGACATTAAGTGAGAGCACTTTTATTATAGAATATCAACATTCAAATCAACCTATTTACTTTTAACCCACTTTTTTTGGCAGAAATTACACATTATAGATTTTTTTTACTAGAGCCATAAGGCCCATCCAGGTGCAGCTTATCCTGGTTTCCATAGCATGAAGCCAAAAGAAATATTACTACTTCCCCCTGAATGGGATGCTTAAGTCCATCTCAAGGTTACCCCCTGTATTTCATCAGGCTTTCCTGACAATTAACCACCAACTATTTATACTCCTGGGTAAAGAAAGGTACTGTGAGAGTGAATTGTTTTGCCCAGGATCACAACACAATGACCCAGCCAGGTTTTGAATGTGGACTTCTACAACCAGAGCCCAGCGCACTAACTAATTAATTAATAAATGTGATTCCTTAGAAAAAGAAACTCATCAAAAAATCTCTTTTAAACTTTCCTTAAATTCTTCCTACCAATGTTTGTTTGGAAAAAAAAAACAATTCAAAAGAAAGATCACTCAGTGCTTGTGTAAGAGATATGATGAGCCAAATTTATACTCCACAAATGCCTGTACAGGCACTAATCATATGCCTCATTTCATTGGTTCAAAATACATTTTGAGGTAGTTGGAGGCAAGGGTTTTAAAGTAAAGCTTGAAAAAAACTTGATAGGTAGAAACAATTTGATGCATAATATAAAACAATTTGATACATAATTTGTGGAAAAATCAAGTTTTAGATGAAAACTCGTTCCTTGAGTGATTGCTTTAAAGGTCATAACTTTCATCATTGAGTCATGAGCCTTTTGTATGGTGTTAACCATCTTTTTTTCCCTTCAATGATTTCTTTTTTAATTTCTCTAATTAAAAGGGGATAATTTATTCACCAAAATTCTGCAACAAAAAATATGTCACCATGCTAGTTTAAGAGCTAAAGACAAGAGAGCCTCTTTACCTGGTCCATTTATTGAAAAACAATATCATGATCTTGGAATTCCCCTGATGACATGACTTTATTAAACAGGATGGGATGTGCAGTGCCTGAGGAATCACTTTAAAACACTAGGTGTCTAAATTACTAGAAACTAATCCCATACAAACAAGTTAAAATGACTTGATGTTTTTGCTTAGTAACAAGGACTGAGGCCTCCTGTCATTACAGTATTTAACTTGTAACATTTTTATTTCTGATCTCTTACTGATTAATCAACAAGGTTTCTCACCAAGACAAAAAAAGTTACAACCTCTGGAAACCAAAGCATATATAGTTTACCTTGGCAACAATCCTCTGTAGAGTCCATGCCATCCATTTATCTTCTTTACATGACATGCTGCAGGATAAGGAGGTAAAAAAACAAAGAAACCTGAACAAATAGGTTACTTTTCTTGATTACCATGAGTATCTTGGTGTTTATTTTTTTTTTTTTCAACAATAGCTCTAGAGTGCCTTTGCACTCTATATAAATACATATTATCAACTAGAAATTGTGTTGTCATCTTCACATGCTGATCAAAAAAGTAAATCTATATTACAGAAACTGTCCATCATGATTGTTTTCAAGACAATGCAAAGGACAAATGTAAGTCATTTGCCAGAAAACTAATCTGAATTTCGTTATAATGCTTTTTCACTCTAGCCACATAACCAAATACAATAAGTGATCAGAAAATGGCTTATCAGAAATTAAAATAAGAATCACATGGAGCCAAATCAGAACTTGAAGTGAAAAAAGCACAGCTGGAAGTGTGGAAAAATACATGTGAGAAAGTTGAAATTTAAGTTCCAGTTTTGCATCTGATTTGTTGAGAGGGTGGCAGGGGTTTTTCAGACCAACCACCAGGAAAGTAAAAAAAAAGACAATCCCAGTTTGCTTCCAACATCTGATTGATAATTACTCTATTTGATTCCTTTAATTGCAAACACAAGGCAAGCCATGAATCAATCTCCTCAAAGCTTACATTTAAGTAGTTTTTTATGTACTGGTAATACTCTGCTGTATTTTTTTAATATGTCTTTTAATGAATTAGTGTGAAGAAATAATGAATAATAATCTTCTTAAATTCCTTACCATACTGGTAAAATGTTGTGAACTCAGTTGGAGAAATAGGTTCATGTCCAACCTTAACACAAATTTAAAATAATTTCATTTTAAACACTCCTTGACTAAAAGTATCAGGTGAAATACAATTCAGGTGATCAGTTAAAATGACCTGTGGAGATAGCTTTCCACTTACAATGCCTTGCCACCCAAGTTCTAAGCCTCCTCTAATTAAACCTTTAACTCCCATAAGTGACCAAGACAGAATTTCTCCTTACAGTATCAATACAATATCAAGCAGAAAAGCAATGAGAATAGAGAAAAGTATCAGTTACATGTAGAGGAATATTAGTTGATTCAATACCAAACTCTCAAAACTAACTTAATGAGATTTGTGAAAAAAAAAGGAAATGATTGCCAAACTAAGAAGTTTTAAATGTTAAAATGAATTCTCCTTGTCAGTACCAAAGCAAATGTATAAAGAAGGGTATGGAGAATATGGATTCTGAAGTTAGAGTGTAAAGGGTAATAAAGTTCAGTATTTGAGAAGATCATCATGTTTGCCAAAATACCAATCTAATATCTGAAAATAAGTCAGCCTCTGCTAATCTGATGTTGAGCACCAAACCAAACAAACCTGCCACATTTTACTGATTAAAACAATGCTCTAATTCATTTGTAAGGCTAAGACCATGAGTGGTGTAATATCTGACCTGAGTTACCTACAGCTGTAGCTGCAAGACCTTACTGATTCAAAATGAAGACCACCAGAGTAGACTTCTCCTTGTTATCAACAAACTCCAGCTGTTTCTTTTTGCTATGATCATGTTGATCACATTACTATGCACTCTACTACCCTCACTACCCCCCCAACTTCATGGAACCCATTATATTGGGATAAAGCAACCACTCCCTCACTTCGAATTTATACATATTTTACCCCTGATGATATTTTCAGAGCAAGTAAGAAGAGAGAGTTTTGTTTTTAGTTTATAGAGGAAGTTTTGTCTCCTGTGGACATTTGTCCTCAGCTAGCCTTAAGTTCAGTGAACACCTACCGGCCCACTGCATTTGTTCCCTCTCATGAATATTTAAATATTGGTGTGGAAAGAAGCCAATATACTCCTTTTGTACCAAAAAATTCCCTGTTAAAATGAAGGAAGGAGGTTCCACAGGATAGAAATATGAATACTGAGAGATGTCATGCAAACATTAAGTTGAACTTTGGGTGCCAGTGTCACAGCGGATATGGACCCCCCCCCGATGCAGATTTGGACCCAAGCTTTCCTTTTAGCATCATTTGTATCACATTTGGTACCTTATTCTATGTGCAAGCTTTTTGTCTATGTTCTTTTCAATCACAACACAAAATTCTTCAGTAGAGATAAAAATGATTAGCCATTTTATTCCAGTTCTACTGCATTCATTATAGCAAGAATTAAATGCAACCAAACTACAGCATTTGAACTATTGAAATGGTTGCAATAAATCCTTGCTTCTTCTGATGTGAATCAACATTGATACGAATGGTCATAACAATAGTGGAGAGTATTGCATCCAGTCTAAAAAATAACTCCGTCTGATTTTCGTATTATAAATAACATATTTAAACAGTTTCTGAACAAGAACGAAGTAACTACTCTTACTACAAGTCGTTCGTAAAGCCTATCGTAGGTTATTGAACATCCACTCGACCGAACACTAACTAGACTAAAAAACCTAAAAGGATTGTTAGTTTAACTTATTTTCAATCATTAGGAATACAACAAGTAACACAAACACAACTGGTTGTAAATTTTAGTGCGCCTTCTCGGCTAACGAAAAATTGAAAAACTTAATGTAACAGTAATGGGTGGAGCAGCAGAATTTCGTTGTAGGATGCGAACAGTGGATTCCCGATTTTCCGAGTCTCCATGGGAAATGAAAATCAGTTGGAGTAATTAGGTTGACTGGGGAAAGGGGAACGACTTTTGGTTCGAGTTATCGAGGGTTACGATCGACAAATCGAGGACCCAAGCAATTGGGATTCCACTGAAGTTTCACACTTAGTGTTAGCATATCTATCATTTCATATTCCCCACCTTTTTCGAGAGAATAACAAAAATCAAACGTTTTCAAGTTTCACGGCTCGTTTTTATACCAGAGTTAAGCCATGTCATTCTCGTTAACGGAAATCCTAGATTGTGACGGCATGCTGAGAAGAGGGTAACATAAATACGCATGTTTTGAATTAAAACAAACTTTAATATACTCTGCAACGTAAAGTATTATCTATTTCTAATAGAATGTTAAGGATGATGTTTTCACACTGTTTTGTTGAGGGAAGGGGGTCTAAATCCGCCAGCAGATTTGGACCGGAGGGTAAATATCCGCTTGGACACCGGTAAAGTATCAAAGTAAAATATCACTATGTCATTTGACATTTATAGTCCATTACCTGCACCAGAAGTCGAACACATGTTAGTGGCTGAGCTGCTACGGTCATAATAGCGTTGAAAACGAAAGTAGCTGTTGTGCCTTCGTTCCCCAAGAGATCTTCCAGGCTTTGCCCACTTCCACTTCTCCCACGTGCAGCCGCCATGTTGAGTTGCTCGTCAGAATGAGGCTAGGCTTTATATTCATCCGGCGTCGATAAAATCTGGATCGGATCAGATCGGATCGGATCACGGATCGGTTCACGGACCGTATTATGGATCAGATCACGGATCGGATCACGGATCAGAGCAAGGGTCGGATCACGGATCAGATCAAGGGTCGGATCACGGACCGGATCATGGATCATGAATCGGATCATGTCAATTGAAATTAGAAATTTTGCGTGACATGCCAAAATGAAGTCTGCGTGACATAATGGAGTGCAGGCCCCACTAGGAGTTTTCTTTTTTTTTTGCCCAAACACCCGATGTAGTCACTTTCACGACTGTGTCGAGGAGTGTTGTAAGTTGGTAAGTGAGTAAGCTAATCAGGAAGCATCATGACTCGCACAATTCTAGCTTGGCTACAATAATTTCAAAGTACGTTTGAACCAGGGAAGGTATGTTCCTCCACTTTCCCGCTGGTTATCTCGGTGTAAGAACCTGTGAAACAATTTCTGTTTTGTCAGTGTTATTTTCCTAAGCTGCTTAGTGATCTGACTTCCCCGTCATCAACGATGAGTTTGAAGCTAACATAATTTTATTTATTATAAAATAACATCACACCAACTGTGCTTTCGTAAAAGTAAAAGAGCCTTGTGAGTTCAATGGAAGCTTATGTAGCTGTAAGATTGCTCTTAACCTGCATTTTGTTATAAAGTAAAAGTGCAAGTCTTACCAGGCTAGATGTAAACACATCTTTCTGATCCAAGTATCGGTAAACTTCTCCATTTCGTCCCCGCCAAATAGAGCATTTCATTAACTAATATTGATCAGAAAAAAACAAAATTCGTCCGAACGCCCTAAATAAAAAACAAACCTTTATAAGATGAGTAATCAGAGCCCCTGCAATTTCCAGACATGCACGCGTTGTCCACACGGTTTTCGAAAAAAACCCGTGACATTGAAAAACGTTAAGTCCCCCGGGGCGAAATTGCGTTCAAAATGGCGACTGAACGCGGACGATTTTTTAGTCTTGACGGAATTGAAATTAATTTTTGCGACGAGAAAAATTCTCAAAAAGCTTCAATTAAAGTGCTCAGTAGAAAACTCAATTTGTCCGCCGGCGATCAATCTGAACATACCGACGAGCACGGCTGTTTACAACACGGACAAATTTTTTTGATAAAAAGTGAGCCTTTGATTTGAATGGACAGGAAAATAATTCATATCTGAATCAGTTTTACATAATTTTTTTTTTAACTGAGCCGAGAAAGGAGCTGATAGTCGTTGTTAAAATTATTTCTACTATTTCTATCGTATATCATTTCAAGAATTAAAAAAAAAAAATATTATTGAATTTTCAAATATCGTCTGAGAGACTTTTAGAGCGACTTTGTTCCGCCAGGTTATCGTTTTTAAAATGTGCAGGGTATTTCAGTTACTAAATAGACAAATAAGATATGGTGAATCAATAAAGTTCTGGCGCTACTATCAACTGAGCTAAGAAGCCACATTTTGGGAGCATGGTACAGCTCAGAGCTTTTTCGTTACTCGGGGAAGACTAATACTGGCATCCCACCAGTTAATTTCCCTGTGGAAGTGCCAGCGTAAATCATCGATTTTCTTTTTCATGCATGTCACAGATAAAAGGCCTGAATGATATGTGATTATTTCCAGTACAGACATAGGATGAAAGAAGCCGATTGAAAGCGCGGATTAAG